AAATTTAATGTGTAATGGAGAGAGAAGACTTCGTGTGTTTGTCAACGCGCGTTGATGTCTAAAGGCCACTTAAGATTTGAAGGTCTATAAGCTTTTTATTTTAGAACATATTGTATGAAAGATAAAGTTCTTTTTGCCTTCTTTTTTATATCAAACTGTTTTCTATCTCATACTATAGTTTTACAGACATTAAGTATTTAGGAGAAATCATTTAAACATTTTAAAGTCGATATAATTTAAACAGATGAGTAAACCACTGATTCTATGATCAATATTTAAAATTATCATCTGAATAAATAATAATGCTCGTTTTAGTTTTTACTAAAAAGTCAACCGTGCAACTAAAGAGGGGAGTATCAAACTTTATGGACGGATAATTTGATTGTGTATATACCGAGTGGATTGAAAATATTAAAGGACGTTTTCTCCATACTGTTACCTGACAATGATAACATTAATTCCGCCTCCAATGTACTCAAAGTTTCCAATCGAAAATGATGGCGTTGGGAATCCCTAACTTACTGATGACAAAGTGTGTGTTGCTATAGATCTACAGAATCTAAAGAGAAAAGAGGAGAGAAGTGCAGATACCCTGATGTAAAATATTAAATTGGCCCGTATCCGTGCAGCTTTTGGTCAATGGTTATGCGGTTACTCTACCCTTGACTATCTTTTTATTATGTAATTAATACTGGAGTAAGCCTACGCACATAATTTTGACATCTTCCATGTTTTGTAGCTTTTAGTAACCCCATCAGGTTACTAACTTACTGATAACAAAGTGTGAGAATTGCAGATGGCCTCATGAAAAATGTTCAATTGGACCGTATCCATGCGGTTTTTGGTCAATGGTGGTGCGGTTAATCTACAATTGACTATCTCCTTATACTGCAATTAATGCTGGAGTAAGACAGCGAACATAATATCGACATCTTCCACTTTTTGTAGCTTTTAGTAAGCCCATCAGAAATCATATGAGTTAAGTAAATCAGTAAATGATTAGTATGTGGATTTGCTCTTGACTGACAAATGTTACGATCTATAAATCACTCATTATACCTGTACATCTGCATGCCGCAAAAATATTAAAGCTCTCACAGAATCATAAAGCTGTACTGGAAGTGTCTGAAGTTCTTCGTAAGTTTTTTCGTCCTCTGTGATTTGACGATGACTACTGACTCCGAATCGACCACAATTTGGACGAGCTTTATAGCAATATTGCCATCAATGTAAGAAAGTTAACATCCAGCGACTGTGTTATCTACGTCGTATTGTACGGATCGAAAATTATGCTTTAGCTATAATGGTATTTGAAGTTGGTCCCCAAGACCAATGGATTTGTCGTTAAGAATTTTTTATTTATCTATTTCAATTAACTGAAAAATCATGTAAAGTAATTTCGTCATCGTCATCATTAAGCATTACAGCTTACAGTATTTCTTAGCTTTCACAATTTCATACTTCCATGATCTTGTTATCATCATCATTAACTTCTACTATTTTATGTCTAGTACATAAGAATTGGCTTTAAACTAATACAAATTAGATCGCCTTCTCCTGGTATGGTATGGTAGTTAATTATCGTTCTCTGTAGGTGTTTTATATGCAAAATTTATTAAATGTAAGGAATAGAGTCTACAATTTTCTTAACTTTTTCGAATATAACATATTTTTTTCAATATCAGTTAGTCGTAAAACGAAGAATGGGTTTTTGTTTGTTCTTCTATATCTTATGCTAAGGCTTTTCAATAGATGGTACAATCCGGAATGGGTTTTTCCATGCACTACAATTTTGTTTCATTTTTTCCAATCTCATGGTTGAACTTTACGGTGGTACAATCCGGAATAAGTTTTACAAGATTGTAAAACAAGATTGTAGTGAATGTCTCTGTCTCAGGCTGAGGTTTGCCAGTTTCTCCCGTCAAGATTTTAATTTCTTTTAACTCCTTCGGGTACAAGATATTATTATAATTTAGTTCTTGAACATGGAATGGGCTCTAGTATTCATGAGAATCTTGTTTAATTTTTCTCCATCTTATGCGGAAACTTTTCAGCGAATGGTTAATCTGAAATGGGTTTTACCATTTATTACAATCTTGTTTTATTCTTCTCTATCTTATGCGAAGGCTTTTATTAGATGGCATAATCCGGAATTAGTTTTACCATTCACTAAAATCTTCTTCTACAGTATTTTTCTCTGTCTCACGGTGAGGCTTTTTAGTAGATGGTGAGATCTGGAATGAGTTTTACCATCCCCTTCAAACTTGTTATATTTTTTTCAGTCTTTTGCTGGGACTTTTTAGTGAATGGTACAATCCAGAATGAGTTTAACTATTTATACCAATCTTATTTTATTTTTGTTTATCTCATATAAAGGTTTTTCATTAGATGGCGTAATCCGGAATGGATTTCATCATTCATTACAATGTTGTTTCATTCTATCTCTATCTTTTGCTGGGGCTGACTAGTCTCTCTTGTCAGGAGTTCTAGTATACAGTCCATATGATGTGTTTTTGTTCGTCATCTGTGTCTGGTATGTAATGGATTGTACGGGTTACATCCATGTTTACAGATATAAAGTATCATTTTTAATACGAGTATTTTGGTATGTAGTGTTGTCTTAGTGCTATTATCTTAAGGCATGAGTTTCGATCTGTAATGAATCACAAGAAGTAATGACTTTATATTTTATGGCTTACAGTTTTTAATGATTTTTCCTTTATTCCATGCCGTAAGTTATTAACAAATAAATATAAATAAGTTTTTTTTTTCCAGTAAATAAAATTGTTTAAAGTTGTATAATAAACAATTTATCTATAATTTTTTTTTTAATTTTATTTTAATTTTATTTTTTAAATAGGTTTCAATGATTTCCTAAACGAAATGCAAATTTGAACCCTTTTACGTATGCGTTGCAGTTTTTGTATGCAAATTAAAACTGTAATTGTGATGAGTAAAACTAGATTTGGAATGGTATTAAGTATTCACAACTAAAATAAATACGAGTATTGTAGATAAAAAAAGTAAAAATATAGAAAATGAAAATAAATTGCAAAAAATAAGTGAATATTAGAATGACAGTCATTGTACGTCTCTGTGGATGCAGTAAAATGAGTAGCTTTTGTCAAGTTCAGGGCCGACGTCTATTTAATGCATAACAATGTAACAGATACGCAGATACTCAGATATTCAGATACTCGTACGACGATGACAAATATCGGCTAGCTTGAAAGACTGACTGACTGTATGTGAATAAAGCGAATAACAAATTTCGTATTAAATCGTAACGAGTAAAAAATGTGCTCTACTTGGTTTTTGCGTTTATTTATAAAAATTACTTTTTGCTTGCGTTGTCTTTAATTTGATTTGCAATCTTCAATTTGCATTACGAAATGGCAGAACGGCGTAAGATGCGTTACGTATCTTGTATCTTGCGTACGACAACTCATATATCTATATGAAATTGTGTATACATATTTGTATATGAATGTAATATATATTTCATTATTATACTTTTTATGACATTTCATTATATTTCCTTGGTCATCATAAACTTTAGACGCCAGCGATGAGCGGAAATCTATAGTTTACTGTAAAGAAAATTGATGAGTTGAAAAGTGATATTCCTTTTAAAAGAAATATTCCTTTTTGATATAGTTTTTGCACTAAATGCATTTCTTTGTTTATTCTGTAGCAGAACTGTGAGTGAAATTCTTTGTAAAATTTACACTTATTTTGAAATAAACGGACAGACAGCAGAAAAAGAATATTGAATGCTGTATCTGAAAGTGTTTCATAATGTGAGTAAGATGGTCTGTTTACATTATGTTACGTCAAGCAAAGTTTGCGATTGAAGAAGTTTTTTAATAATTGCTATAATGTAAATTGCAATTAAGGAAAGAAATAGATACACAAATGCAAATATATGTATATTGTATATATATATATATGTATATATGTATATGTATATATATATATATAGTATTCCCTTATAATAATAATAATATATTCACAGGCGACAGACGGCTGAAGGTGTGCTCTACATTTATTTTTACTTCATACATTATAATACACTTAAATTGATATACGTGTAATATGTACACGTATATATGTACACGTAAGCGAATCAAAATATCTTGCAAACATCGAGTTATGTTATAATCCAGTTATTTATTGTATTATTAGACGTAGTCGAATGGATCTGGAATTTGGAAATATGTTATTTTATACTTCCATGACTTCGCTATCCTAATCCTATTATTAACTTTTTTTGTTCTTATGTGTGATATGTCGGTTGGTATCCTATCTAACAAACTCATTCATCTTAAAACTGTCGCATTTTTTAGTGACCGGGAACCCAGAGTTTTTTTTTTGTTTTTTTTACTACCCTTTATTTATACAACTGCTAATTAGTGAACTATTTATAATGGATTAAAAAATAAAAAAAAATAAAACTTCTTTAAATTAAATAGTATAAGATAATTATATCCTAGAGTAAGGAAAAATTAAAAACTAAAATTACTTTTACTCTAAAACTTCAGAGGAAGCTGGTGTATAAGGACCCCTTTAAGAGAAGCCTTTATAAAACCAATTCGAAGTGTGTAAAAAATTTTATTAAAAAATATCAATTATTTCTTTCTTTGCTTTAGAAGTATAATTTTTAGTAGAATTCGATTTCTCCATCTGTTTTCTTACAACGAGTACGGACTGTTATAAAAAGTAAGTTTATATTCTAACTGATAGACAGGGAGCAATTAAAGCTATTGCAGCAGTATGCATTTTATCTTAAAAAGATTACAAATATAGACGATCTATTAACTTAATTTCACATAGCCGTAAATTCTAATGTTAAGTGGAAAGAACGCATACATGAGCTAGCTAGGGATGGCGCCTTTTTTATGGAATTTTCAATGCCTGCTCCTGTCAGGCACAAACGAAATTTGATTTATGTCCAGTTTTTGGGATAAGCAAATAAGTATTCAGCCAGTATTTTCGCAGTACATAGAAGTAAATACGGAATTATCTAGATCAACATCTGTCTTGATACGACACTGAACTATAGGATAGCATGAAGACTCAGCAAACTCTGTCGAAATTTCTACTTGTCTACCAGCGCTCGAAGTTGAAATACCGGGTCACCTGTTGTTTCTATATGAAGGCTTGTCCATCGTCAGCCTTAAGCTAAGGGGTATTCCATTCTTTAACATACTTAGCGATATTTCTATCATTAGTATTGGCATTTATCAATATGTTTGGCTGGTTCGAATATGCCCATCCTTTTGCATACAACTAAGTATTTCTCTTAACGGTTCTTAGGATACAAAACGGCTTTCTTAGCTAATTGGAAAGGATTTGAACCTCTTTTCACTTCATTTACGTACCTATCTCGGTCTCTCCAGATAGAAAATCTGTAATAAATTTTCAGTTCAAATATAGAATTAAGGAAAGGAGCTAAAAAACTTTCTTTTAAATTTTGTTTTTACTATTTTTATGTTATTTCTTTTAAATTTTATTTTAATTTTTTTTTAATTTTTTTTTGTATTTACATTATGTTGAGGCTAGTTGAGTCAGTGCACCTGAGCAGTTTTACTCTTTATTAACTGCGAGGTTTCTTCAAAACCGCTCTTTGCGCCTTGACTAGATTATTGTTTATCACTTCATCAGACTAAGCAATAATTGACCTCAGATCTGCATACCTCCCTGAGGAGCCTGTAACCATTCTGAGATTTGATATTGTATTATGTATAATTAATGTAATTTATGAAATCTTTCATTGGAATCTAACAAGAATTTATAAAACTTTAAAGCTATGCTTAGGCTGGAAGTGTGAACTTGGTTATTTTGTCCATCAATAATTAACAATAATTAATAATTAACCATTAATATGATTCTATATAAAATTGAAATAAACATATTCATATTACTATATATATAAAATAATAAGATATATAAGATATATAAAATAAAGAAGATATAAATCTGAAGAGAAACTGAAAAGTCTGACTATAGAATTGTAACCTTGGTTGTTTTGTTATCAAATAACTAACTTAAAAGGTAAATTAAGTATGATTCTATATAAAACAGGGACAAATATATTTATGTTGCTATCTTTGTCTATGATGAAATTGTAACTGGCTTGTAATTACTTTGAGGACATTTGTACCTAAATGTTAATTTTATACATAAAACTACTGTTTTTGTGTTAAAGTAAAACTCTTTATATAATAAATAAATTATAAGTTTATAGAAGCAAAAAAACTTAAGACTGAACTCAAATTATTTTACGGAATTGTGAAATTGTTTGACAGCAAACTTTGATATTAAAAACAAGTGGTAACGCACACATACATACGTACATGTGTGCATACACATACTGATACAGCATTTTGTATTATGAGACTCTTAAGTAGCTTAGTGATGAAATCATGCATTTTATGGAAAATTTAGAATTTATTAACCTAATTACTTCAAGCGCCTTTAATATTTTTGCAGAAATCTGATTCAATATGCAAGAGAAAAAATTATAAAAATAAACAACACATACACAATCCACAAAATAAGTATAAACTTGAAAAATATTTTGGAGGCCAAGGTCAACTTTATACAAGCACATAGATGTGCATTCAAGCCCAATTCCTGTCTAACACAAACAAAATTGTGAAATTTAAATTGCAAAGGTTTTGGATGTATTCGTATTACTGCTGAGTAAATATTTAAGTGTACGCCTATTCCAGTGGTACAAGGGCAAAATATGGCATAGTGTGTGTGCCTTGCAATTACGCCCTCGCAATTGGTCATATATGCTTTGTAAGTGTGTGTTGTTTGGTGTGAGCAATGATGTATGCAATCCTTGCACTTTGCAGAAACGAAAGCTCAGTTAAAATAGAAATAAAAAAAACTAACAAAAAAGAAAAAAATGAAAAGAGCTTGCATTTTACTCTTCCTGCCAGCATCAAATAACCACACATACACATTCGCACATTCATACACATTTATACTTAAGCTGATTTGTTGCTATAGCCACACTTTGCTGTTGACGTACCGGGAAAGCTCAGCGAATAAATTTAATGGACAGTGCATCGCGTATGACTCTTATGACGCTGATGCCATTTGCGTTTGCAGCTGCTGCAGAATAAATTGAACAAGTTTTATATGTGTAGGTGTGAAAGTGCGGACTTTGTGTGTTCTCTTGCAGTTCGTGTGCGAGTAGTGGTGGCTATAGTTATTTTACGTTCACCAAATTCATCCTTCATCCGTACGAATTCGCTAATTATATCCTGTGGTTTATTATAGATTTGAGCTGACCGTAATTTCGGTTTATTAAAATAAAATAATTAAAAATAAGAATTTTGCAATAAAAATTTTAAGTGCTTCATAAAATATCTGGAAGACTTGTAAGTTTAGAATAGATGCTTTTCTATATAAATAAAAGATAGATGCTTCGTGCTCTGTAGGTTGTGGTGGGTTATTGTAGTTTGGATGTCTTTCAATTTACTTGGAATTTACTTTCAAAATTAGTGTTTTAGTATTTCACATTCAACTGAAAGACTACAAGAGATGCAAAATTCAAAGTTTTAAAAAGTCATATTTTATTTAATATTCTACGTAGTCGTACTTATCGATGTGAAATGTTTTACACCCTATGATATGGTTATCTGTTTTTCCATTGTCAATAGGCCCCCGTCAAAACATATTCCAGGAAGTAGAAGGCGTTGTTCCGTGCAGCAGGAGCTGTCCTAGGTTAATTGAGATCAGGATATACCCGCATGCTGAACAGGTACAAACAGAAATAGAAACAGTCACAAAAACAAAAACATCAATACCCAATGTTTCCTCCAATGGCAGCTCTATCCCCCATCCTCCATAATATTGCCCATCTATTGTTCTGCCCTAAT